TCCACCTTAAAGTGCTGACCACCTTTGGAGAAATCAGGCTCTACTATTCGTAGACTTTAGAAACCATGTCCCATCTTCATTCACCAACTCAAAGGAGAAACTCTGCCTCTGCCAGCAGCCCACAGTGCTGGACCGCTCTCTTTGGAGGGCCACTTGTGTGGATATGGGGAAAACCAGGAGTCAGTCCACGGCCTGGCTTGCACTGAGAGGTCACGCCAAGTGAGAAGCACACGTGAAGATATGGAAGACAAAGTCAGAAGACATAGCATCAGGAAAAGACATGAAGCTTGAGAACTGAAACCAAAGAGGAGGCCCGGGTTTCAGCAAGGCTCAGCCCAGGATAGGCTGGACAGCAGTCTGGGAGCCAACTCGATGCCCGCCATGGTCTGTGCCACCTTTGGAAGAGGATTCGGGTGCTCCCACGGGACTTAGTTATGCTCTTAGGTATGCTGGGCCCTGTACCAGGTGCTAGAGAGATCATGCTGAACAAGACTCCATGGTCACAAGGCTCTTAGATTCACAGTCCAAAAGGAGTGACATAAACCACAAAAATGGTCATAAATAATGTGCTTGCATACTGGGGACTAAGAGAGAGAATGCTATCAGAGGTGACACTGAAGCTGAAACTTGAAAGACAAGAAGGCCCTTGCTATGCCAAGAACAGGGAGACTCCGTGAACAAACAAGTGAATAAGGAAAATGTGGTGTATACACAGAATGGAATATTACTCAGCCTTAAATAAGAATGAAGGTCTGACACCTGCTACAACATGGATGAACCCTGAAGACATTACGTGAAACGAAATAAACCAGACATAAAAAGACAAATATCGTACAAGTCTACATATATGAGGTACCTAGAACACAAATTTACAGTGACGAAAGTAGAACAGAGGTTACCAGGGGCTGGGAGACATAGGAGGGAGGAGTTATTGTTTAATGGGTACAGAGTTTCTGTTTGGAATGATGAAAACATTCTGGAGATAGATAACAGTGATGGTTGGGCAACACTGTGAATTTACTTAATGTCACTGAATGGTATACTTATCAATGGTGGAAATGGTCAATTTTTTATCGCGCGTATTTTACCACAATAAAAAAAAAGTTTAAGGTGGTTGGCCAGTATTATAAGTAACAGGAGAAGCATGTGCAAAAGGCTTGAGGTTGATAAAAGCTTAGCCTGTTGGTTGGGAGAGAATGATGGCAAATGTAACCTGTAAAGAAGCCAAAAAGGCCAAAAACCCTGCTGGCTTCAGAGGCCATGGTTAGGAGTTTGGATTTTGTCTTAGAAGACAGATTTTTTTTTCCCCCCAGAACCCTCCAACTGGTCTACCTCCACTATAAACCAGTCCTCACCACACTCTTACACGGCAAGCAAACTACACGAAGGGAAGAGCACACATCACCTCTTCTCCAGAATCATCCTCCTTCCAGTGAGAACTCATAGCATTTATTCATTCTTCTCACATAATACGTAGGAGTTCACCATTACATCATAGTTCATGATGGACCTGTGTTTGCTCTTCTCCCAGACCCCCGATGGTCTTGGTCACAAGGGCTACAGCATATCTAACATCAGACCTGGGCTCTGGATTGATTGTCGATGACAACACAGTTGAAGAGATTCCTTCACTTTGCTTCTGGCTTGGCTGAATTTTTAAAAATTTAATTTCTTTAGGCTCCCACATACAAACTTGCATCTTTTCTGAAAATGAAAAAAGTCCTACTAAAATAATAGGAAGCACAAACCAGAGACTGACACTGTCTTCTCAAGAGAGCTGATGGACATGGGGGACTGATGTTTCCATAAATCCCTCCCTAAATCAGAAGAGGGAGCCACAGAAGCCCTGGGCATTAGGAGCTCTCCTCCTTGCTTCCAGCGCTCACTTCTGAGGCTCGCTCAGAGGGGGACCCATGTCAAGGGGTCCTGGCCACGGTGGCACACAGAGAAGGCAAACAACAGGGTCTACCAACTGTGCCTTCTCTGATGGGGAAGTCTGTGAAATCGGACACAAAAGCTGTGTCTGTGACACACAGCTGCTCCCTTACCAAGTACCTGTTCCTCAGCAACATGGAAGTTCACAGTTTGCTAGAGTTGTTAATGGAATTCCCAATTCCGGTGGCTTTAGACCTCGGAGCTGAAAATGCAGTGCCGGCTGGCCCACGGCCAGGCTTCTGGAGTCCCAGGGATGATGAAGGGTAAGTAAGAAGGGGTGCTCAGAGGAGCAGACACAGCCTTGAGAAGCTGGTGGCCATGTGGTGACGTGGGGGAGGAGAAGGAGGGTGTCAGAGGCAGACGGAGCCGTTATTAAGGAAGGAAAAAAGAAGTGAATATCTTCCAAATAACAGTTCTTTGGGGAATTTAACAAGTACTCTCCTCCAAATTAACTTTCCCCATTCTCGGTCCAATAATCCAGATGACTACTAGTTCTCAAAGTCACATAAACTCTTTCATTTGGGTTTTCCTATATAAATCCTTAGGGAGTTCTTTGATATGCATTAGGGCACACTTTAATCCAAGTTCTGCATTTTAATTGATCCACTGAAAGATAATGTGAGAACTAAAATGTACTTTTAGAATTTCTTAACCCCCAAGATGACAATTAACTATAAAAATGTGTTTAGAGCCTGAATCACAAATCAGAACAGCACAAGAATTAACTTAGCCAAACACATCACGGAGGTCCTAGCTATGCAGTAAATTCAGTGAAAACTGTTTCCTTTTTTCCAAAATGGAAAAAACAGCGTTGTTACTTTGTCTAAGGCATTTAATATTCTTTCAATAAAGAAAGAATATCATATATTAAAATCATCCTGGATCCCCCCAGTGGAAGTTACCAATGTTAATATTTTGATGTATCACCTTCTAAACTTTCATGAGCATATATGTGCATATGAGCTTTTTCAAAATTAATGTGATGTTATTCATATAATTGATAACTCAGTAATACACTGTTAAGCCTAACCTATGTCAATAAGTATTATTTTCCAATGTAATTTTTATTGGCTACATAATATTCCATTTCATGTACATGCCATGATTTATTTAATTGATTTCCCATTGATAGACATTTGGGATTGTTTCCAATATTTCACTTATAAACAACTATAACTACAGAAAATTATAAATATGAGTGCTTTCTACTTCTCTCCACAAATAAGTTTGAAAATCTGAATAGAATCAATGATTTCCTAGGAATATGTAAATTACCAAAGTGGACCCCAAAAAGGATAGAAAACTTAGACCTGTAAGAATAGGGTTTTTTAAAATAGCCCAAGGACTACCTCTCTAAAAAAGCCACATCCAGATAATTTGCAAGTGAAATCTCCCAAGCCTTTAAAAATTCTATTTAGGGGCTCAGTGGGTTAAAGCCACTGCCTTCGGCTCAAGTCATGATCCCAGGGTCCTGGGATCGAGCCCCACATCGGGCTCTCTGCTCAGCAGGGAGCCTGCTTCCTCCTCTCTCTGCCTGCCTCTCTGCCTACTTGTGATCTCTGTCTGTCAAATAAATAAATAAAATCTTTAAAAAAAAATTTCTATTTATAGTAGTCCAGAGAAGGAAGAAAGAGAGAAATTTTGTCACATTCTTTTTTTTAAATTTAGAATAATACTGATACCAAGCCCAACAACGATGGCATAGAAAAAAGAAAATAAACCAACCTCACTTCTGAATATTAATGTAAAATTTCTAAATAAAGTTTAGCAAATATAATCCAGATAAAAAGAAAAAAAACCAAAGACCCAGAAAGAAGGCTCCATTCCAGATATTAGTTTATAAGATCATTATCAGGAAATCTAAAAATATAACCTTACCATATGACTTGGTTAAAGCAGAAACGTATATGATCACTTGAACATGTCTAAAAGATGTAATAAACGTAACTCATTTCTGAATTTTTTAAGCCCCAGTAGAGTGAGACTAGATAGAGGCTTCTTTAAGATTATGTCATGCCAGGGGCACCTGGGTGGCTCAGTGGGTTAAAGCCTCATGCCTTCGGCTCAGGTCATGATCTCAGGGTCCTGGGATCGAGCCCCGCATTGGGCTCTCTGCTCAGCGGGGAGCCTGCTTCCATCTCTCTCTCTGCCTGCTTCTCTGCCTGCTTGTGATCTCTGTCAAATAAATAAATAAAATCTTTAAAAAAAAAAAAAAGATTATGTCATGCCAGGGGCACGTGGGTGGCTCCGACAGTTGATCATCAGACTATTGGTTTTGGCTCAGGTCATAATCTCAGTGTCCTAGGATCAAGTGCTGTGTCATGCTCTGAGCTCAGCACAAAGTCTGTTTGAGATTCTCTCTCCCTTTCGCTCTGCCCCCTCCCCTCGACATGCACACATGAGCCTTCTCTTTCTCTCTCTCAAATAAATAAATAAAATCTTTAAAAAAAAAAAAAGAATACAACTTCTGAAACCAGAATTTCTGGGTTCAAGTTCAGCTCTATCACTAGCTACATGACCTTGAACAGATTACTTCATTTCTCCATGCCTCATTCTCCTCATCTGTAAAATGGGATAATAACAGTACATACTCCTAGGGATCCTGTAAGGATTGATTGAGTCAATTGATATAAAGTGCTTAGAACAGCACCTTGCACATGACTCTGGGTCAGTGTGCATAAGAATATAAGTAGAAATCCATGTCAAAGAGCCAAGACCATGAAAGCATTAATGAAAAACTAAAACCACTGCCATGAAAGTCATGAATAAGGACACTCAAAGTCAACACTACTATTTAACTTTTTGTTCTGAAAGTACTAACCAAGTGGGTTGATCACGAGAAACCTAACTTACAAACGTAGAAAAATAAAAGATGGAATTATCATGATTTGCCAATACCTATTCCTGAAAATACCAAGAGAATCAACTAGAATGCCTCTTAGAGACAACAGGAACTTACTGGATCTATTTAATTCATTCACCACCCTAAAGAGAAATTCAGAGAGAAATACGAAAACAATCTTAAAACGACAGAAGCTGGGATCCTGGACCTTTTGAAAACTCACCTTGGCAATGTAACTTTGGGGACTCCCACGTGCCCAAAGCTGTGCAGCTTGAAACTGTATCTTCCAGGTCACTGAAAAATCCTTCTTTGCAAGCATAGCGCACCTGACTGCCAAGCCTGGAAGTGTAATTTCCGACGATAAGGCCATCTGGGACCTCAGGAGGGAGGCCACAGTCTATTTCTGAAAATAAATGAACGTCAAATTCATTACTATGTGAATATGAATTTACAAAACTCATCATCTCTCTCCACCTCTACCCCATCGTCCCCTTTCCCTCCACACACATGCACATCTGAACAATATTTTACATAGACTGGTTCATTTCCATTTTGACTTCTGGGCATGTTTCCAGTGACTGTCTCTATTCAATCTTCTGGCCTTCCATCAGTAATAACATCTACACAGACACAAAGCTGATGGGATTTAGCAGTCAACCCTCACTAATTCACACTAGTTAAAGAGAAGTCTAGCCCAGTGGAGTAAAACATTTGAATTGCAAAACACCTTCAGATATATACGGCTTTGTAATTTTCAGAGTCATTTTTCTATTGCTGGTCCTTAAGAGGGCAGCTATGTTTACTATATAAAATCATGTTTCGTGGGAGAATATCTACTAACTGGTAAAAATCCCGGAAGTTTACCAAGTGTAGCTTTTTTTTTTTTTAAATCTAAGATAGCCAGCCCCTTTTACCCTGTAATATTGACTTTACTTAATAGGTTGTACAAATGTGCAAAGGAACAGACAATCTCCACTCATATCCCCAACACAGGCCCCACAGACACAGGTTCCGAGCAGAAGAAAGTCATCTGAGAGCAGAATCCCACTTTCAGAAAGCTCCCTTCTTTGGCAAACACCCACCTGTGCATGACGTGGTGTCTCTGGCCGGGTGGAAAGGTTCGGGCCCATTCTCTGGCAAGTATCCATCCATACAGTAGCATTTGAAACTTCCGTAAGTGTTCACACACCGTCCTCCTTGCCTGCACAGGCCGGAAATCTCACACTCATCGATGTCTTGAGACCCAGATATAAGAAGGGAGAGAAAAAACAATAAAAAGGGAAACACAGGGACACAGGGGCATTGGAACAGCCATTTCTCACATTCTCAATCTACCCTTGCAAAAAAGGATGCATTTGTTTGCGAGGGCATCATGAGTTTTATTTCATTCTTCAAAGGTTATTTTCATATACCCTTTCTTTATGCCACCAGTACTAAAAGGTGCTCAATAAATCCTTGTCAATGTTGTTTTGGGAATTTACAAAAACCAACAACTATCACCAACCCGCTGACACCCAACAAAAAGAGCCCCAGAGAAGCATGCTGAAAAAAATTCAATCACTACAAAATAAGGATGGCCTCTACCTCATACCTGAAGATACCTGAAGGATGGGGCCCCTGGGAGGCTTACTTAGTCTGTTAAGTGTCTGACTCTTGGTTTTGGCTCAGATTGCGATCTCAAGGTCATGAGATCAAGTCCCTTGTCAGGCTCCTTGCTGGGCATGGAGCCTGCTCAAGATTTTCTCTCTCTCCCCCTCTGCCCCTCTCTTTAAAAAAAAAAGGAAAGAAAGAAAGAAAGAAAGAAAGAAAGAAAGAAAGAAAGAAAGAAAGAAAAACCTGAAGTAGAACTCCAAATATAAAACAATTTAAACCAGAGTGAAAAATGCTTTCTAGCTCATGACCACAGGGTAAGTCAGGTAATAAGAGGAAAATTCAGAAGGGTCTCACTAATTTTATCAAGATTACAAGAACTTAAGACAAGCTTTGAGAAGAAAAATACATGCCCGTTGGCAGACTTTTCTCCTTGACTAAAGACAGCCCAAAGTATCAGGTACAGCAGTAAAAACTGCATAGTAATTCAGAGACCGGAGAAGAAACCTCTCTGCCAGTTAGTGGATTTTCCCCCCAGAAATGACTTAGAGAACAAAATAAAAACTGTAGGAATGCCATCAGAGCCATACACACACCAATTTCACCAAACAAAACAAAACAAACAAAAAAACCTTAAGTTAAATGGGACTATTCTCAGGACACTTGCAAGAACCATGGTGGGGGGCAGGGGGCAGGGGAGCCAAGAACAGGGAATAGCAAGACTGAGGAAAACCTGGTTGTTACCGGGCTCTGGGATTTTAAAGGCTGGTAATTTTGGAAGGACCACTATAAAGTGGCCAATATTCTATTCTGCCAGATGAAGAGCATTTTGTTTTGTTTTGTTTTCTAAAACCTACTAACACCATAGTTTCACAAAAGAAGGAAGAAAATATCAGAACCCTTTTAAGTTTTGTTTGTGACTTTATCAAAACTTACTATACTTTCCTTTTTGTTTGCATTTGGGTCTTGGACCAATGAACTCCTCATCGCTCACTGATCATTGTTAAGGAGGCAGCAATTACTGTAACTGCTGAAAGAGCCCACACAAGCTACCAGTTCTGATCAACGTACATCTCTAATGCAGTAAACTTCGGGGAAAATCTGGGAGATCATCTCTAAAGATGGTTGGTCATTTCTTGGGGATTCAAGAGTGGAATCCATTCCCCCTCCCCGTGGGCTGGTCTAGAGGCTCGCTTTGGACAACAGAAGGCAGCAGAAATTAACGCTGTGCCTTTTGTGAACCTGATCTGGGAGACGACTGGCAGCTTCATCTCTCCCTCTGTTGGCATACAGTGGCCATGCTGTAAGGAAATCCAAGCTATCATGCCTGGCAGAGAAGTCACTCAGGGGATAGCCTAAAGATGAGACATCACGTCAAGAGAGAGGCCCCCTGGAAAACTAAGGTGTCCTGACAGTCAGCATTAAGGCCCTAGAATGTGAAAGAGGCCTTCTTTTACCTACCAGCCCAGCCCAGCCATATGAGTTGTTTCCATATGAGTGAGAGAACCACCCAGCCATGGAATTGTGAGTAATAATAAATTGTTGTTACAAGCCATGAAATGGGGTGGGGGGGTGGGGCAGGGGGCAGGGAGTACCATTATGCAGTAATAGATGACCAAAACACTCTTGACATATGAAGAGATGCAGAAGTCCAAATAAAATTAAGAGGATACTGGGTGTAAAGATTACTTAAAAATAAAATCTTCAAAAAAAAAAGGGGGGGATACTGCAATCAATGAAAAAAGGGGAACTTCTGAAAAACACAATGAGAACTTGGAAATTAAAAATAAACTGTGGGGGGCGCTTGGGTGGCTCAGTTGGTTAAGCAACTGCCTTCAGCTCAGGTCATGATCCTGGAGTCCTGGGATTGAGTCCTGCATCAGGCTGCCTGCTCAGTGGGCAGTCTGCTTCTCTCTCTGATCCTTTCCCCTCTCATACTCTCTCTCTCACTCTCATTCTCTCTCAAATAAATAAACAAAATCTTTTTCAAAAGTGAAAAAACAAAATGTGAATGCCAAAAATAAAAACCCAATAGAGGCTCTGAATAATAGGTTGGTCGCTGCTGGAAAATAAATTTGCAAATTCCAACTTGAAGAATTTGCAAAAAACACATAGAAAAGGAAATTATATGAGACAGAAGCTATAGGACAATAGACAACATAAGGACAGATCCAAAATATGGGATATTCACTTAAAAGAAATTGCAAAAGGCACCCGGGTGGCTCAGTCATTTAAGTGTCTGACCCTTTGTTTCAACTCAGGTCATGATCTCAGGGTCATGGGACTGAGCCCCAAGTCAGGCTCCCTGCTCAGCACAGAGTCTGCTTGAGATTATCTCTCCCTCTGCCCCTCCCACTTGTGCTCACTCTTTTTCTCTCTCCCTCTCTCTCTCTCTCTCTCTTTCTCTCAAATAAATAAATAAATCTTAATTGAAAATTAATATCAAAGGGAAAATTTCCTCTGCTTATGTATTCACATCCAAAGCACCTTTTGAGGTGACAGGCGTTAATGTTGAAAAATGAAAGTCATCTGAGTTTCATGGGATAAAAGAAAAATCTATGAAAAAAGAGAGAAAGGAATTGTAATCTTGAAGAAAAGAAAACCAATCTGACCTAGGACTTCTTGTCTGAGACACCAAATACTAATGGAATATTTATAGAGTTCTAAGGAAAAAGGAGCAAGACATAGTACTATATTTAAGTCAAGGTATGACATTTTAGAACATGAAGGATCTCAGAAACTATACTATTGACATTTCTTTTTTTAATCTTTTTTTTTTTTTTTCTTAGCAGATTCCATACCCAGCACAGAGCCCAACGTGGGGCTCAGACTGAGAACTGTGAGATCAAGACCTCAGCCAAGATCAAGAGCTGGAAGCTCGACCAACTGAGCCACCCAGGCAACCCTTGACATTTCTTTTCTGAAAAAGATTTTGAAAAACATCCAAGCCAGCAAAAAACATCAGAATAAAGAACGTCAAGAAGGGAAACATAATTAAAAACGATGACAACAACAAAGACGTAAGAAACGAAACCAATAAAAACTCAGTTAAACAACTGATAACAGGGCACCTGGGTGACTGTCAGTTAGGCGTCCACCTTTGGCTCAGGTCATGATCTCAGGGTCCTGGCATCGAGCCCCGCATTGGGTTCTCTGCGCAGCGGGTAGCCTGCTTCCCCCTCTCCCTCTGTGCTCTCTCTCTCCCCGCCTCAAATAAATAAATAAAATCTTTTAAAAAAAAACACAGCTGTTGATATAAAATCATGGGCTTTTGGATAATAGTTAACAAAGGATTCTTAAAATCTAAAGCATAGGAAATAAAATCAATCTCAATCCAGCACAAACTTTAGAGATGATTTCAACCCTGCAGGATCCAGCATGTGTTCCTAGAACGGGATCTATCATTTCAGCTTATCAAGATTCTGTATTCCAAGGGTGGGGGTTGTAAAATGTGGACATATACCTTTGTCACAGTAATGATCTTCCAGCCTGCCCATCTGCCCCAGGCTCTTCAGAAGACAGTGAGTGGGAATAAACGGATTTTTCAGTAGAAACAGGCGGTACCAGTACCACAGGGCAAAAATGTGGCTAGGTAGCAATGGTAGGGAAAAGAGAGTTTCTAGATACTGATCAGCTCTTCATGAGTCACCACAGTCATTAATCAGCCTGCTTTGTGTCCAATCATTGAACAACCTAATAACAATGATTGTTAGAACGAGCGCTGATCCAGATGACTCCTGTGTGTCATCTGGCACAGGCCAGCCACTGTTCTAAACCCTTCATTACTTATTACTAATTATTTTCATCTTATTCCACACAATAACCCCATGAGCTAGATGCTATTATTCTCCCCATTTTACAGCGGAAGTAGCTGAAACACAGAGTGAGTAAGTAACGACACTAAAGTCAACACAGGTTAAGTGGTGAGAAAGCCACACTTGGAAACCAGGCATGTAGCTCCAGGACCACACCCTTAGCCACTGGTCACACCGTGTCTCCTGTTACAGTTGCACTATACCATCAGCCGATCAATAATTCCATCTTGTCCACAGACAATATCAAAGAAATCCATTGTCTTCATGAAGTCCAGAAGCACCTAGCATCTTTCCCTGAGATCGGTGACGTCATTCTGACTTTTAATGCCCTGCTACCTCTTAATGCTCACAAACCGTCTCTTTTCTAACCTATTCTAGAATCTTGGCTGCATAAACATGGTAAGCTCATTAGAATAACTTCTCCATGTTGTGGATTCCATGGGGTCTACCAAGGTCATAACATGTTTGCTTGGGAAGGAAAAACGTTCTGAGCAACTGAGCAACCTTATTAACAAGCCTAAGTAATCGAGGGGGAAATTTTCCCTTGTCCCATTGTATATACCAAACTATTTAACTTTATCCACAGCCAAAACAATTCCTTGCCAGAAAGTAGCAAAACCGAGCAGGACACGCTGACCTGGTCCCAGGGCCCCGATGTTCTATATATACTCTTTCCATCTAATAGCCTGGGCTTGAAAGTCAAACAGACCCTTGAGAACTGACTCTGCTACTTATTAGATGTACTCAGGTCTGTTCCTTAACCTTTCTAAACCACTTTTGTAAAATGAAGCTAATTAAGTTGGCTAATACGTGAATAGGCCTTGCCTTTCTACAGACTCCATTCTCCCTGGAGCACAAGCCACTCCTTCAGAGCCTGCACCTAACCCTCAGTGTGACCATGAGCCAAGCCCTCCCACACACACATACACAGACTCTCCTGGGTTTCTTGGCTGTGGTCTGGGGAGAGGCCCCGTGGCTTGTCCCCCAGGATCGGAATCCTCTTGGACAGAATCCGAAAATGCATCTGGAGGACCCTTAGCTAGAACAGGAGGGTCAAAGAAACAAGGGTTTAGCTTTGGCGGGCGTACCCGAGGGGCAAGTCTCTGAAGGCCCCTTTACACACAAGCTCTGGCCTGGAAATGCCTTTAAAACCTGAAGGCTCAGAACGGACTCAGTGATAAAAGTACATGGAAGAATTTTCACATAAATGAAAATGCTCTCACAGCCTGTTCTTCTCCCTGTAGCCAACTAATTACTAGTTCCTTCGACTCCATGCAGGGAAGACGAAAATGACTTCCTCGCATCTTGGAAAGTAACGTTACTGCTTTTTTCCTACCCTCTTGCCTACCCAATGCCAAGTTCAGCTAAGAAGCCTGCATCTTAAGAAGCCACAGTTACTCAGAGGGACACAAACATCCATTTAAAATCAAGACGGTTAAATTCACATCATTCGTTGCTAATGTCCAGTATTGGCAAAGATGTGAAGAAATGAAGACCTTCGTGAAATGATCAGCGAGAGAGAATATTGGTGTGAACTTTTTGGAAGACAATCTGGCAAAATGTACTGAAAAATAACAATATGTAGGTATACCTTTGATACAAAAATTATTTTCCAGAATTTATAACAAGGAATAATTAATTATCTGTAGAGATGTAGGTACAAGGATGTTCACTATAGCATTTCTTATGATAGCACACACACACACACACACACACACACACACACACAAAATATAACAAGCAGGAAAACAACCACAAGAAGGGAAAAACTAATCAGTTAAGTAACACAGTACAGCCACATAATAAATTCTGTGTAGTTGATACATATAAGGTAGGAGACCATATCTAAGATCATGCTCAGAACAAAGGACCTGAACTGAAAGGGTTATCCATTTCCTTCACAATCTTGCCAAAGCTGCTACTTTGTTTAGGAAAATCTACTTTATAGATGCCTCAAAGCTCCTGTCCCAGTTATTCCTCCCAAAACTTTAAACTAGTGGAGCAAAACAAGAACCATGTGTGCATATTTTACTACACTCAATAAGGCCTTGGGAAGGAATCTGGGATCCCTATATCCTAGAGCGAGAGGAAGCCAGAGGCAAGAGTGAAGTGTGGGGGCACCTGGGTAGCTCAGTGGGTTAAGCTTCTGCCTTCAGCTGAGGTCATGATCTCAGGGTCCTGGGAATGAGCCCTGCACTGGGCTCTCTGCTCAGCAGGGAACCTGCCTTCCCCCCTTCTCTCTGCCTGCCTTTCTACCTACTTATGATCTCTCTCAAATAAATAAATAAAATTAAAAAAAAAAAGAGTGAAGCGTGGGAGATGTTCACATGTGCAGGAGCTCAGGCATGCCCTTTCACTCCCAAAGAGAAACAACGGTGCCTTAATCAAAGCCTCTTGCATTTAAGGGAAGGATGCTTTCATTTAGCCATCTTCTGATTCAGAATCTTTGGCATCTCTCTCCTTCCTGGGAGCTGGAGCTATAGCGGGGGCCTGAAGCCATCACCCACCAGGATTAGAGACGTGACTAAGCAGGAGTCCAGGGGACTCCACAGGGAAAATAGTCAGGAAGCTGTTGGATACGAGCAATGCATTGTTGCGTGCAGCAGTAACTCCCCAGCCCACTTTTCCTTAGGTTTATCTGTCCTTGTTGCTTCCTTGTTTCAGAGTAGTAAAACATGACACTTGTGGAATAAAACACAGCTAAAACAAAGGATTAGGATTTGGGGAGCAAAATCCCATTTGGAAGGAGCACTGGGAGGAACCTCAAACAGCAGCAAGTCCATTGGGCAATATCCCACACAGAGCAGAATCCCGGCGGGACTACACGTTGTGTCGGAGCCCGCAGCGGGCCACTCCAGGACCAAAAACAACAGGCAGCCCAGAAGCTTGAGAGCAAAGGCTCACACAGAGAACGGACTCCTGACCTGGGAGAGAAACCAACAGACGTCTTGGCAGGGGTAGGGATTGACATCTAGCAATGATGGTGTTTAACTTCACCACAGGCAGACTATGTGATACAGGCTCTGAGCAGAAGGTCCTGGAAACTGATGAATGGCAACGCATTTACTCCCTCTGGGAAGTAAAATTTTTCCTTCCTTTTTCCCCATTTCCTAGTTAAGGCTGAAATGCTGTTACACTTCTCTAGGAGAAACGGCATCAGGCCTTTGATACTGCAGGAGATGAGCTGAATGAAAAGAAGGCTGCAGCCGCCATCAGACTAGAGAGGGATTCCCAACACCTGGGGAATTCAAAGGCGCACAAAACGCATTTTGCAATTCTCAGCAGACGTGGTAGGGCCATGGTAGGGCCTCCTTTGGAGTCAGGCTGGTAGGGAGATGACAGCCCCAGGCCTGCTCCCACACCAGCATCATCTCTCTCCCACCCTCCTCACATTTGAAATGCCACAGAGCATCTCCCTCGGCCAAGTTTCTGGGAGCCCCAGAACTTGTCTGGGGCAGCCCTGGGGGCCAGGTGCAAGCTCTCTGGAACTAGAGCCCTCTCATGGGTGACATCCAAAGAGGCCCACCGGCAAGCAGCTCCTGAATCTGGCTCGGACTCTGAAGAGTCCAACCAACACCCGGTCGCAGGAGTTCTTGCAAGTCAGGAACCAGGATTCACATCCTGTGGATCCAGACAAACACCAGATAACCCGATACCCCAAAACGTGCTAAGCCTCAGTGGACAGGAACAGTCCCCGCTGTTCCCGTGGCAACTGTGATGCCAAGAGACACTCAGTATCATCGAGAAAAGTCACCCATCAGCTTTTACAAAGTGATAACCAGAGATCTCAAAAGGAGAGGTCACGAGAATGATTGCCCACAGATACGGGTCTTCTTTTGAAGTGACAGAGGTATTCTGAAACTAGATAGTGGTAGTTATTGCACAACTTTGGGAATATACTAAAAAGCACCTTAACAGAGTGAATCTGATGGTATGTGCATTATATCTCACTTAAAAAAAAAAAGTCACTAAATAATTACAAATGGAAGACAGAGAAGAGCTGAGATCAGGATTTTGTTCCAGGAAGACTGGTTCTTATTAGGCTGACATCTGTTTGGCCCTTGCACAAAATATTTCTTTCTTCTTCTCCTCCTCCTTCTTCTCTCCTCCTTCAAATTTTTTTTTTTTTAAGTCAGATGCATCTTTGGGAAGGTGAGTGATAGATACAGTGATAAAAGTTTTCCCCCAGCAAACTCTTGCAGCCTTGAAAACACGATTTTCAGTATCACGTCCTCCAGAAAGTTCCCTGATTCCTTCCCCACTTTCAAGATAAGAGCCCACATGGATTCCAGATTCCCTAAGTGTCCTTTGCTCACCTATGACTAACACTTTATACTGAAATTAGCTATGTGCTATCACCGGCCCCTGGCACCGCCTTGGCTCAAGGGAGCTACAGGAGAAATGTGTCTTGGGATGAACAGAACATCCTATCATCACCTTGTCAGGTTTTTTAAAAATGGGCACGTGACAGGATGAGCACTGGGTGTTACACTGAACTGATGAATCACTGAACATTATATCAAAAACCAATGATGTACTATACCTTGGCTAACTGAATTTAAATTAAAAAAAAATTTTTAATTGATATGTTGTTTTTTTAACGCATCTAATTTAATTCTGCACCATTGCACTTCGGCAATCATACAACAAGCCATTTGCTACCGAAAACAACAGTATATCATAAAATGTTTTCTCTGAGGGAACAGGCTTCGTTGAGACCAAGAATAAATCAAGTGGACCCCATGAGGGATTTTTTTTTACCTCAGTGCAGGTCAAGAGGGAGAATGAATCAGAGCATCGGAATCTGTGCTTTCCGGTGGGTAAGGAGATAAAACAACGTTCTCCTTTCCCTTTTCCCTGAAAACCTTTCAATATCACAAAGCTTTTAAGCAGAGTCATTAAGTCTATGCAAAACCATCGCAGAACCTGCAGTCTATTCCTGCCTTTCCTCTTCCTCACCGTTCCCAGATTTTCTTAGAAAACCAAAGAGCTACAATGTCATGACATGCTGTAACATGGAGTTCGGCCAAGAGTTTCAGGGTTCCGTGAAAATTAGGATTTTGCCCACCCACTGTATTCACCCAACATGTGCCCCAAGCTTCAGAGTGGCTGAGATCGAAAACATGGCCCTCCTCACCCAGCGGAATCTCTGAGACGCAAGCCCCGTCTCTCACCAGGGACCACTCAGAGCTCCCAGAAGCCAACATCACAATGTCCACCCCCTGGTCCTTTGATGGGCCGTGTGCACAGTGCCAGAGTCACCACAAGAACACCCCAGCTGGGGTTCCAGAAACACCATCTCTGAGAGCCCCTCCTTGTTTGGTAGAAAAATGTTCAAACGCACGGAACAAGAGAAACACAGAAAGCATATGCCAGTGAACTCCCAAGACCCACCCCCCAACACCTGCTCACAGTCTGTCATTTAAGACCCCTTAGAGATCGTAATAACACTAGATAGCTCCTGATACCGCTAGATGCTTCAGCACGCGTCTCCCAAAACGAGAATGTCATCCCCAGTATTACAATGCCGTGACGCTAGCTAACAGAAGGAACAGGAGTTTCCTAACACTCACTAATACTCAGCCATGTCCCAAACTCCCCCCATGGACCTTCTGCAGGGAGAGTCCCTCCCTGAAACCACGCCCAGTCCCAGCCTGGCCCTCTCCCTCCTCCACACGCCAGACACTGTCCTGCCATCACCGCAGCCCCCTCCTTGAGTACCTGTGCAAAATGTGCCGTCATTGGGAATGAATGTTTTGTTGTTGTTTGTGGCTCGATATCCTTCTAGGCAAATGCAGTAAAAACCTCCGAGTGTGTTGTGGCAAGATGTGTGGTTTCCGCAGACCACGGTGGCTCCAAACTGGCACTCGTTTTTATCTGTTGATACATTGAGACAACGCACAGAAAGGGCTATCAATCCATACCACGTCCAAAAACCCAGACTGTCCTCCTGGGCTACAGACCTGGGAGCTGCTATTCTGTGACAACATCCCAAGGGTCTCCTCACGATGCTTCTCAGTCTGCAGGGCGTGGGTCCCCCACAGTCGTGTGCCAGGCATATATAAAACCACAAGAGAGGGGCACCCAGGGGACTCAGTCGGGTAAGCAGCTGACTCTTGATTTAGGCTCAGGTCATGATCTCAGGGTCATGAGACCGACCCCCAAGTTTCTCTCTCCCTCTGCGCCCCCCATCCCCCCACACTCATCCTCTCTCTAAAATAAATAAATCTCTCTAAAATAAATAAGATCTTTAAAACACACACACAAACAAGAGAAATCCAGCGTCTTAGTCTGAACATTCATCTTATTTGAAGATTGGGAGAAGGGGTTGCACATTCCCACATTGACCGTGTTCATCTGTCATTATATACTGCTCCAGCTCTGTCTTCCAAGCTGCGGGTTGTGATTCTTTTTCCATCTCTTCACACTCAAGAAGACCTTGTGAAAGAAACACACCCAGCAGCACCCCATTTCCAGCTCAGCCAGCCACACTCTCTTGCTTTTCTCATGAAAGGCAGAGTAGGACAATCTTGCATCCAGTGAATAACCGGAAAATTTGTTACTTCGGAGTTACCAGGAAACGCAATGGAATTAGTGCTTAAGCCTCATCCGGGAGCAGAGCTGATATTGCGGCAGGAACAGCTCCTGCTAATCGTCAACGACCCACGTGAATAATATTAGTCACCCCGTGAGGAGCTGAGGTAGAGGATGCGGGTGAGTCCACAGAAGCCTGCCCTGAGCATTTTTAATGCAGTCATCGGACATAGGTGTTGAATGAAGGTAAATTACCCTCCTGGTTCTGTCCTGCAGCTCAGGGCTTGGCAAACTTTCTGTGAAGGGCCGTCTCCAGTGGCAAGTGCTCACCCATGCTTTTAGAGCACAAAGTAGCCACAGACCATAAGCAAACAAATGAGCAACGTTGTCTTCTAATAAAAGTCTATTTACAAAAACAGGCAGGCCAGCCTCTGCTCACTCTGGCCTGGCCTTACCAGCAGAAGAACTCCTGAGACCAATTTCTTATGCATTCTTTCAGAGCTGATCTCTGCCGCTGGTTGTTTTGTTTGGGGGGGGGGGGTGTCATCAATTTATGCACTGGAGTTTTTCTGATTGTTATTTAGTGTTTGACTATAGCATGGGTTTGCCTCTCACAATTGCACTCAATTCCTGCTGCCTCAAAAGTACCCTTCCCAAAATCCGGCTTTCCTTTTTTTTTTTTTTCTCCCTATTTTCCTTACAGGTGTTATCTTTTTGGAAATGTCACTGAAGATGGAACACAGCTCATGGTTAACACTGTCTATGGTGTGATCTGCACGGGAGCAGGGAGAGACAGCCCTCAAGCTACCGCCTGGCCAAGTGTCCAGCCCAGCTGATGAGCCCTGCACGGGGCTTTTGGACACCAGTCCAGCCACCCATAAGATGCTGCATTCCTGTCCTCGGCTAGCGTTTCTGAGACAGGTCTCCCCAGCAGGCTTCTCCAGAAGGGACAGTGGGTTTGTAGAGAATTCTAAATTTCTGAGGCCCCTTGACTGCAGACCACGTTACAGCATGCAGGGCACGCAGGTAATGTCACCTGTGACCCGTGGTGTGGTCTCAGCAGGCCACATACTGGCGTAGGCAGTGTCTAGTGTCTGAGAGCAAGTACCACATAAATCAATAAGCCCCTTCCTCCCATTAAGAGAAGCTTCAATTCAGAAGTCAAGGGGCAGTCAAGAGTGAGGCGGGCTTCTGCAGGCGGGGGACCGCCTTCGGGGAAGGAGCAGAGAAAGCTGTCTGTGCTCATTTCCCACCTCACTTCCAAGCCCCTGCTAGCGAGCTGTGGGAGGAGAAGGATTCGAGAAATGCCCCAGGAACCTCAGACTGCAGGGCAGCCACAATTCTCCTGGGCTCTCTCCCAAAGAGAGAGGGTCCAAGGGGGGCACAGATCCAGCCTGCAGGAATGGGCCATGGTGTGTGACTGGGAGAGGGTGTATCTGTGAAGTAGAATATGACTTTTGGAACTGGGAATTGTTACTACTCTTTAGGAAGAGGAAACCCAAAGATATCACAAGGCTGTCTACACAGTCAGTGCACAGCCGCAAGGCAAACTGTCAATATTCGTAGTGCACATAACAAGGTTGCTGGGAGGACAGTGTGGTTCTCCTAACATTCACTCTGAGAAACGTTGAGCCCGGATACTGCTCGAGTCTCACACTGGAGGCCATGAAGCCAAAAAATTACCTTAGATCCTTCCTAAAGGCCTCTGTATTCCTTTAAGCCACTCAAGACCCCAGTGGGCAAGAACTCCAAAAAATCTGGAGGATAAATTCTGGGAGACATAAGACTCAAAGCAATACTACTTCATCAATTAGCCCAAAAGTCCAATAGGCGATTGTGTTTTGTTTCTCCTTGGGGTACGAATGCAAATCATCTTACATCGAAACAACCAGGAGCAATTAAGGAAGGCAATATTTACTCAAGTTGTTAAGTTAAACTCGGGACTTGAAAACAGATTTCAAATTTGCGTTGGGCCAGAGAATTTCCAGAGACTCAAGTTCAATGACCTTTAACACGGAAGATACTTCCTTGCAAACGCCCCAGACAGGCTATACCCAAACACTAAAACAAAGGCCTATTATAATGGACAGGACTTCCTGTGATGAAAACAGGTGAGTGAGCAAAGCGACAGTCTTCCCCACAAGGACATTAGCTCTTTAACACTAGAGAATCTCCTTACTTGACCCCACTTTCCAACTTCACCCAAGAACCAGAGCTTACCCATACAGTAAGTTCTCCCGTTGCCCACGAATCCGTATTTGCAGACACACATCTTCATCCCTTCGGCTTGCCTGCAGGTAGCGTGTTCATGGCAAGTGGCGCAGACATCTAAACCAGAATCATAAATCATAGATTACAGGAAAAGAAAAATGCGATCGCCTCCTCTGGACAAGCCACAGTTTGGGTAGTAGACATTTACAACGGAGAACCGGAAGTGGAACAGCCGAATGATAAAAGGCATATCTGACCCCATCCTTAAAAACCTGCAACGGCTACTCACTGCCCACAGAGAGAAGTACAAAATACAAACAGTATTTTGTACTTTTTGTACAAAAAGTACAAAAATACCTCGACCTGCCATCAAACCTCTTAACAGTCTGACTCTAAGCCAACCCCTAGCCCAAGCCTCACTGTTCTCAAACGCAAACCACACACAATATTCTCTAGGCAGGAGACTGATGACTCTTTCTCACACATGCCGTCCCCTGTCCTACTTCATGCCCTGGTCATGATGTTCCCTTTGAGGAAGGGAAATGCCTATCTCCTTCTCTGTCCAGCTAGCACCCATTCCTACTTGAAGACTCACCTTAAACCCATATTCTCCCTGGTGTCATCCCCATTACCCTGTTCTCGTGGAAAATTTAATCCCTCTGTGCTCTGCTAACACTTGCACATTCCCACATTGGCCGTGGTCATCATTATATACGGTTCCCGCTCTGTCTTCCAGGCTGCGGGACTTCGTCATTTGCCCCTATATTGTCAGGGCACAGTATAAACATCCAAGGCACTTTTACTGAGTGACTGGATAAAGGAACTTGCAGTCCTACTTGCCACAACTCAAAAAGCAAGTGGAAGGGAGAAGAACTCATCTGTCTCTTACCCCATCTGTGTTTCTTTTAGGGAAAAAATGAAGGTGCTTAAAATGTCAGTGAGATGAACAGCCGGGTCCCAGCCGGATGACCAGATCCAATTACTTCGACAGGCAGCAGAGATGTGGGAGGCTAACACACACAAACCTACTAGAGGGGGACGGGTACATGGCCCAAGGTCAAGCAAGGACTTCTACCTGAGGCTCTGTGGGGTATCATGTTGTCCTCTCAGTGTCTGTAATTTCAGGAGGGGCCCCGGTCGGGAGAGTCAGCGTGGAATTCCATCTCAGTCTTGGCCCCATGACTACCCAGGGAATAAACACTCAGCCCTCGGGTTGCTCCAGGCAACTGAGACAGGGGGATTTCCAAGTACAGACAGCCCTGACTTACAATGGTTCAACTTACAATCTTTCGACTTGACAATGGTGCAAAAGCAATACACATTCAGTAGAAAGCATACTTCAAATTTTTAATTTGGATCTTTTTTTTTTTTTTTAAAGATTTTACTTATTTGACAGAGAGAGAGATCACAAGTAGAGAAAGAGAGAGAGAGAGGAGGAGGCAGGCTCCCTGCCTAGCAGAGAGCCTGACGTGGGACTTGATCCCAGAACCCTGAGATCAGGACCTGAGCTGAACGTAGAGGCTTAACCCACCGAGCCACCCAGGCAGCCCCTTGAATTTGGATCTTTCCCCAGGCTAGGGAGATGAGGTGTGATCCTCTCTCAGGAAACCAGGCGGTGGCAGCCAGCTCTAGCTCTAGCCAGTCAGGCGATCACAGGGGCAGACACCCGGTAAATTCACAACCGTTCTGCACCCGTATGACCATTCTGTTTATCACTTTCAGTACAGTATTCAATACGTCACAGGAGAGGGTCCACACTTGATTATACAACAGGCTGGGTGTCACGCGGTTTTGCCGGACTGCTGGTGAACAAAAGGGTTTTGTGCACATTTACAGTAGGCTAGGCTAAGCTATAATGTTTGACAGGTTAGGAGTATTAAATGTATTTTCGACTTAGGAGATCTCCAAGTTATGATGTAACCCACCCAATCATAAGTTCAGGAAGATCTGTACTGATTGTTAACCATGGCTTTTTCTTTCCTTTTTTTAAAAAATATTTTATTTATCTATCTGAGAGAGAGAGTAAGAGCGGGGGAGTGGGAGGGGTCAGGGAGAGGGAGAAGAGGGCTCCCCGCTGAGCAGGGAGCCTGACATGGGACTCCATCCAGGACTCTGGGCTCACGACCTGAGCCGAGGGTAGACACTTAACTGAATGAGCCACCCAGGCTCCCCCTGCTTTTTCTTTTAAAACAAATATAACACAGAAATGAGACAAACTGCTGCTTATCCCTAAGTAATACTAAATTAACCGCGGGATATTTACAAAATTTATTATATCCCAGACCATTAAAAAAAATGCAACAAAGTCAAACACAGAAACTATAGAAGTCGGGGGCGCCTGGATGGCTCAGTGGGTTAAAGCCTCTGCCTTCGGCTCAGGTCGTGATCCCAGGGTCCTGGGATCGAGCCCCACATCAGGCTCTGTGCTCGGCAGGGAGCCTGCTTCTCTCTCTCTCTCTCTGCCTACCTGTTATCTCTTCTGTCAAATAAATAAATAAAATTTAGAAAAAAAAAACTATAGAAGTCGTAGTATCTGACTACCATGTAATAATGTAATAAGACTACAAAATAAAACATAACAGTAGCATTCCCAAAAGAAACCTACTTGGACACTACAGAACACTCTCCCAAATAATTCTTGAGACAAAAAGGATAGCAAAATTGAAATGCCTTGGGGCACCTGGCTGGCTCAGTCAGGTATGTGATTCTTGATCTCAGGGTTTTGAGTTTGAGCCCCAGGCTGGATGTGGAGATTACTTAAATAAACTTTTTTTAATTGAAATGTTTAGTACTAGATATAAAAATGTATCTACTCCAGAAAATTTGAGTTTTTCCTGCTTTTGTACTTTAAAAAGAGAGAAGTAAAAGCAGGCAGCCCGAGGGTGGGGGGAAGCCCTAGAATTTTAATGCAAAAAATTGCAGGGGGGCATTCCTTAAAAAGAAGGGCCTGGGTGATTCCGTCGGTTAGGTGTCTGCCTTCGGCTCAGGTCATGATCCCAGGGTCCTGAAATCAAGCCCCACCTCGGGCTCCTTGCTCTGCAGGGAATCTGCTTCTCCCTTTCCCTCTGCCCCTCCACTTCCCAAAACCCCCCCCCCCCCCCAACATGTTTGCACACACGTGCTGCTCTCTCACTCACTCTCTCTCTCTCTCTCTCTGGTGCTCTCTCTTTCTCACTCAAATAGATAAAATCTTGTAACGAAGGAAGGGAGGAAGGAAGGAATGAAAGAAAATACAGGATTTGGGAGTTGGGGGTGAGGAAATAGTAAAGAAAAAAAGTATTAGAAATTACATTCAAATTCAGTGGAAAAAAGTTTCCCCAAAGTCAGTACTCTATAAAGACCAACAGTCATGATGCAAGTGGGACCCGCAAGAGGAGCAAAGAGCTTATGCAGACACACAACATTAGGAATACGAAAGAGCTTGTAAGAAAAAAATACACACAAGTTTGTTGGTTTTTTTTTAATTACAGATGAAAGATTTGTAGTTAAACATGCAGATTTAGTACATTTTCAAAGCTCCCCCTCCCCCATGACATGAAGCCCCGGAAAGGTATAAACCCTGGCAGACGAGAGGACAGGAGATGAGGACAGCGACAATATTTCAGAAGATGCAGGAGACAGAAGCACGGGAATGGCTTGAGAGGAAGAACTAAAAGCCGGCCCCAAAGGCTCAGGAATCAGGGCCACTGAGCGCTTCAGAAGGCAGGTGTCAGGGATAGGACTCAGAGTTCAAGGAACTAGGTGCAAATATGGATAAGGAGCAGGTAGAGACCCTGTTCCCCTCGCTAACCCTGGCATGAGATGAAGTTTACAGCCTGAAGGAAATGGACCAGAGCAGCTCCTGAGTTTCAGGGCAACAGGCAGAGCTGAAGTGAGAAAAGGGTCGCCGCACTTAAATGTCCATCAGTACAGAGTAAGTACAACCAGTGTAACATTTTAACAAAGAACATTTTTAAATTAGTGCCATGAGACACTGTCAATTCATAATCACGTGCAACCGACAACCTGGAAATACCTTTTAAATAACGGTTCCTGGAGGCGCCTGGGTGGCTCAGTGGGTTAAAGCCTCTGCCTTCAGCTCAGGTCGTGATCCCAGAGTCCTGAAATCGAGCCCCGCATCGGGCTCTCTGCTCAGCGGGGAGCCTGCTTCCCCGCCCCCACCTGTCTCTCTGCCTACTTGTAACCTCTGTCAAATGAACAAATAAAATCTTAAATAAATAAATAAATAAATAAAGGTTCCTGGGTCAAGTCCTTAAGTCCAGTGTGATCAGCCATATAATGACAAACATTCTCCCAGTGTGTACGTCCAGTGTGATAACAAAAAATAAATACTGTATTTATGAAATCATCAACAACAAAATGGTAAAATGTTTGATTTTTTTTCTGATATGGAATATTTGTCTTTATAAACATGGAAGCATTTATATACATCCAGTTCCAGAAACTTACGTCAGACAGGAAAAAAAAAGATTATTTCATTCAACTGTCGAGTGAATCTAATAAACACACACACACACACACACAAAATTAAGAAATAAAGGAGCACCACCCACTCAGATAAATTAACGGAAGTCCAGTCTGAATTAGCAAAAGACAGAATGTAAAGTTTTTAAAATAAATTGAATTAAGTTCAAGTTCATTCAATAATCAGAACCAAACAAAATAAGGCCTTGTAAGAAGGCAGCCAGATACAGGGGGAAAGCAAACACTGGAGCTAATTGTCAGAACCGGACCCTAAATCTAGCTGAGTCTTACTCATTATACAACCTTTAGCGAGTCACTGAACCTCTCCCGATCCCAGTTTTTTCATCTGTAAAACGAGGGCTTTGGGCTTCGGGCTTCTCAAATTTTAAAGGGCATTCAGGGGCACCTAGGTGGCTCAGGCAATGATCTCAGGCTCCTGATCTCAGGATCCTGGGATTGAGCCCCAGTGAGGGGCCAGCCCTGCACTCAGTAGTGAGTCTGCTTGTCTCCCTCTCTCTGCCACCCCCACTCCCGCAAAAAACACACTCTCTCTAAGATAAATACAGAAATCTTTTTTAAAAATTTAAAGGGGCATTCAGATCACCTGGGGATGGTGCTAAACCGCAGGATCCGATTCAGGGTGGGGCCCAGCA